ACTCGCCCAATTTGGGCATAACTTCCCCGAGTGCTCCGATTGCTACGGGTACCACTGTTGTTTCCATCCTCCTCATGTTCCTTCTTCCTGATGTTGCTATCACTTATAATAGCTACTTCTAACACTACAGCCATCTTCCTCTGCTTGTACATCACTACTATGTCCGGTTGGTTAGCCATCACCAGTTTGTCTGTCTTTATCTGGAAGTCCCTCAGATGGTCATTCTCAACCACCCCGGGGAGCGTGTCCTATTTTGACCTCAGAACTTCCAGGCCATCCTCTGTAAAGATGTTCCTGTATACTATGCCGGCCACTTGGTTATGCCATTCCATATAGGCTCTGCCTGCTACCATCTTACACCCCGCTGTTATGTGTCGAATTGTCTCATAGGGTCTTGATTGGTGTGGTAAACCCCAGGCTCTACTGATCTTAGTGCTTAGCGCTTGATCCTGTACTGCTGTTATTAGTGCTTCTGTGCTGTCTTTCAATCCAGCTTTGTCCACCTATTGGTAGGATATCTCAATATCAGCCACTTCTTCTATTTGCTGGTGGTTTAATCCATACAAATAGATGGCTCCTCTCCTTCCTCCTCTTCTTTCTTGGGTTTCTGCTGCTTGAGGTATTCACCAACCATGTGATCAGTTGTGTTCCTGATGTATTCATGGATTTTTGTTGTCTCATCCTGGATAGTGTTTCTGACACTCAGTAGTTCTTGGCTTCCTGCCTTTCACTTAGCGTCCCGTCTCAGGGTGCCGAATTTTGGGGTGAAACCCTTGATGTATGTTAAGGAGCCTTCTTGTCTTGATGGTTGTGGCTTAATGCACCAGCTGCTCTTGGGGCTTGCTACACACCAGTTCAACACTGAACTGGAGCTTATCCCAAGGTTGTGGTATTAAGAGAGGTGGGGTTAGACAGCTTCTGTTCAGGGCCAACACAAAGAGACAGACAGCAATTCAAGCTCACAGTCACATCTGCGACTAATTTAGAATCTTCAGTTAACCTAACCTGTAAGTCTGTGGACTGTGGGAGGACACCAGAGTACCTGGAGGGAATCTATGAATGAACAGGAAGATGACGCAAACTTCACACAGACACCTTCATCCAGAAATGGATTCGAACCAGGTCCTTTTGGCTTCAAGGCGCCAATGCTAACCACCGCATCAGTGTACTGTAGTCTTCATATCTTTTTGTCCTCCAAAAACCTCCAATTTCCATTTTTATTTTCAATTTGGAAGTTCCTACAAGATAAGATAATGGCCTTTTTTTAACATTCAGCTTCAATAACAGCACAGAAAAGCACCTTCAGGGCTATCAGCTGTTACTCCCACACACATTTTTAACATGCACTACTCATGCATCGTCAGAAGCAAGTTGATAATTTAACCACATATACTGTAACATTGAAAGAAAGAAGAGAATGCGATATTCATTTTTACTTGTCTTTTTTTTACCAGGTGGACCATTTGATTTGATGTCTCGCAGGCTGATTGTGGCCAGCAGCAGAATAATAGCAGAACGCATTGCAAAGGAGATAACAGAGTTTCACGTTGGCAGGGATGACACTGATGACTAGTTAACTGCTGCACTGCTCTCAGCCTGCTCAGCTCATGTAAACACCCTCAACTGTTTTGTACATAGAAGGTCTCAAACCTGTCTTTGCCTTAAAAACAACAACTGTAAACTTACCTCTGAAGAGCATCTGAGAGAGTTTAACTGTTCAGAGCTTACACTTTCAGCCTCTTTTCTGCCTTTTTTTGTTGTTGTGTGTTTTCACATGTCAGGACTTACCTGTTCAGATACAGACTTTGTATTGTGTTTTAATTTAACCCTGGAGAACCCATGGGGTCAAATTTGACCCCATGGTTTCCCTAGAAAACCAATGGGGTCGGCTCTGACCCCATGGGTTCTCCAGGGTTAAACAGATGCGATGGAGTGTATGCCCTTGTTCATATTAGTTTTTAGTGTGATGTTTTTAATCACTAAACAGTGTCTTAGTATTTATTTATTTGTGAGAAAGAAGATAAAGAAGTCTTATGGTTATTCTTCCTCAACACAGCACTATTAAAGCAAAGTTAATGTTGAAGTATAAAGTATTTTACTTATACATGAGTAGCTATTACATTTTAGAGTCATCACTGGTTTGCACAATGCGTAATGCAAGTATATGTGTACCTACAACTGTACTGTATATCTGCTTTCTTTATCAAGCCAAAGGATAAAGGGTGCTGTTGGCTAAGGAGCAATCCAAGGATGTTTTTCAAAATGTGTGCTTGTTTTATGTGCTTTTGTAAGAATGCAATAAAGACAGCAAGTAAAAGCAAATAATATCTCTTACTCAAGACTCTTATTTTTTTTGTGGTGCACTGATAAAGTTATAGAACTGAAGCCCTGCAGACAGGCATCAGCATGCAAGCATGTCACAGCTGTAAACTGAGGAAGGACAATAAATGGCAACAGAACTAAAGAGAACAGAACTTGTATGAATATTTTCTCCTGGGGGAAAAAAAAAAAAGCTGACAGTGCAAATTATGCATGGCACAATATGGAGGGAGGGCGGGATTCAGTGTCTTGACTTGCCTCTTTTGAAGTGTTTGAATAAACCACAAAAGTTAACATGACATGTAGTCATGGTTAACATGACATGTTAACAACATGACAAAAGTTAACATGACATGTATAAAGACACCTCACGTTGCGTTGCATCAGTCAGACAGTCCTTTTAAAAAATGCTATTCCGCTTTGTAAAAAACTTATATTGCCAATATGTACCACAGTTGTTCTCTGTACGCATTGTTCGACTCCCAAATACCTGAGCGGCATCTCAACAATGGCAAGAATCAGTGATTTGTTGCTTTGACCTCAAGAAAAGATAAATCTATAACTTCCTCTGAAATGCCTCTGAACAAGATCTGAGCGAGTGTTAAATACTAAGAGCTTCAATTTTAAACCATCGTTCTGTTTTTGTGAGTGTGGAAATATTGACATTCAAAGATACACATTTTCCTTTCTGCTGTAACAAATTTAACAGATGTGATGAAGGACTACTGTCTGCATTTTTTATGGTGTTGTTTTTGTATTTATGTGAATGATTAAACTAGAAAAGAGGAAGGAATTTGATAAATCACTGCAACTCAGCACTATTACAGAAACTTTGGAACAAGTGTTCAAGTTTTGACCAGTAGTGTGGCCTTTCCATATAGACTGAATTAACATACATTTCTATGTAAATTTCCACCACACACCCATCCATTTTCCAACTGTTAATACATGTATATGTTTTTTAAAATGTAAATTAATGTGATTTTGCAAGTGTATGATAAAGAGAGCAAGTCTCCAGTGAGTAGCAGTTTTCTGAGCAAGAATGCCTTGTTGATGCCATAATCCAGAGAATAGCCAGACTGCTTTGAACTGATAGGAAGGCAACAATAAATCAAATAATTACTCATTACAACCAAAGTATACAGAAGAGCATCTCTGAATGTGCCGTACATTGAACCTTAAAACAGAAAACCAGGATAGATGACACTCCTGACAGCTAAGCTACACTACACAAGATTGGAAAAATGTTCCCTTGTCTGATAAGTTTTGATTTGCTGTGCGTCTCTTAGTGCTAACTGAGCATTGTTTAAACATCACAGGCTATCTGAGTACTGTTGTTGACCTTGTCCATCCCTTTATGACCAGTGTAACCATCTTCTGATGGCTGAAAGAAAATGAAGAAAATGCAATATGTAACAGAGCTCGGATCATCTCAAATGGGTTTCTTGAACATGCCAGTGAGTTCAGTGTGCTCAAATGACATCTTCAGTCACCGCATCTTAATCCAGCATTGCACCTCTATGATGTGATGGGACGGGAGATTCCCATCATGGATTTGCAGCCAATAAATCTGCAGCAGCTGTGTGATGCTGTCATGTCACTGTGAACCAAAAAGGACTGTTTCCAGCACCTTGTTGAACCTGTGCCATGAACACTTTAAGCACGTCTGGAGGCAAAACCACTACTAGCAGAGTGTATCTTATGAAGTGTCTGGTAAATGCATGCACAGTCATAACACTCCCACCATCTGCACACCCATTGGACAGGAATTTGAACATTTTCTCTAACATCTGCCTCAACCCTGCTCCCTCAAGGACAGATACAGGACATTTCCTTCCTTTGTGTAGTTATTTTTTTTAGCTCTGTTTTCCTTTTGGGATTTTGTAATTATTTTATTGAGGTACATTGTTTTTTATTGTTTGGCTGCTCTAACTTGTGATTATTAAAGCATATTTTCATCTTATGCAACTAATGTACTGTTTAACTGCTTAATGTCTTTATCGTAGAGCCAAAATGAAGTCACCGCATGTCTGTTTTTACAAGACTCCAACAGGAAGACAGAAAATTAAAGCACCATTGAAATTGCTTGTTTTAACACAGGTGGTTAAATTGATGTAATGAAGGTCCTGCAGATGTCAACTTGCATGCAGATGCATTAGTCATGAAGTGAGAAATGACAATAAATGGCAACAGAACTGAAGTCTGTATGACCATGATAATTATTGTTGTAAGTATTCCTGTGACTGGTCTTTTTGTCATTCATTTGTATTTTATTGTAATTTATTTATTTATCTACTTTCTAACATCCCCCCACAACCCTGTCTCAATGTTTGTACCTGTTTGTCTTGTTTCCATAGATACTGTGTCTGTCCTAATGTGTCTCTTTTTGAAAATATTGGTTTAAGGAAAAAAAATAAGTTACATTTGAAAAATTCTTATTTAAAACTGCCGGCTGTGCACGTTTACGGTTCCAGCACTAGATATTGAAGTTTACTGTCTGGACTTGCTTCCTCTGAAATGTCCTAATAAACCGCAAGAAGGAAAACGGCAGAATGTGTCAAGACACACCTCCCATCGTGTGTTGCTCAATGCAGCATGCCAGTTATGTGAAGTTACGCTATGTTACTGTGATAACATAAAATGCTCCCATGCTTGCTCATACGTTATTATGTGCAGCTATTATTGCAAAAAGAAGAAAAAACCCACTGTCTGTATCCATTGTCCGGAAAGGTTCCCAAACCCCTCTGTGGCATCCTAAAAGGGCTCTGAATCGGCGATGTGTTACTTTGACCTAGAAAAATGATAAATCTATAAAATAAAAGCGTGAGCAAGAAAAATGTCTCTTGCGGCAAACAGGAAACCAAATAAACAGAAAACAGGCCTCTGACACTCCATAAAATACGGGAAAAAACCACTTGCTGCTATCGTTGTGATTTAGTGGAGAGATAAAAGCATTCGCAGCCATTACTCCATGTAAAATTCTCCGCTGCATTTCCCCTGCCCTTTCAGCCAGTGCTGCAGAGACTGCACATGCAGAGTGGTGGACTGCCCCCTGGGCTGATGAGCTCTATAAAATAGTCCAGAGTTTTTCTCTCCATGGGCTGTTTTTTCAGCTGATGGCTAATAAATGGCTTTAAAACACTTTACTTGAGCAAACTCCTGTTGTATGTGCTGCAACCCCCCTTCCGCAGAAATCAATGGTGTGTGTTTGTATACAACAGGGGGTAGCGACGTAATCACCAGTGTTGGGAATGGCTTCCAAAGTCAGTCAGCTAAAAGCCAGCGCTTCCTCTTCTGGCTTTCACCTTTACACCAGCAGATGTTAAACAAATCAGTTCTTGCAACTTTAAAATTTAAATACCCCCCATCCCCCCTTTTAGCTGTAGAGTGACTACAGATTCATTACAGGCTCTCATTGCCAGTAAAGAAATGCCAACCATTGTTCTTTTAAAAAAAATACAGAGGCTGTGCTTTTTGTATCAAACATGTCCCTGGAGACTGAAGTCAGGCTCTGGTAGCACATTTAAACAGCTATAGTTAGACTTTTATGTAGAATTTAGAGTTTTTTCCTTGTTTCAGTCACTTACTTATCATTTTGTGTTCTGATTATGACTGTGATTGTGGTTATTGTTTAGCAATGGCAAGACCTTCCCTCCCTTCTGACATCAAGAGACACTCCCACTGTTAAACTGTTTGAGAAAGAACTTGGTCGTGCTTTTGCCTTTTTTTCTGAGGCCAGACTTTTGACAGCTAGACTTCGACAGAGTCGACAGCTGAACATTACGGTGTAAATAGCTGAAGTTGAGGTAATGGCAGAACAATTTCAGCAAGTCTTTTTTTGTGTGGAAATGGGTAGAAGTGGTTTCAGATTAAGCACTGGCACTTTGTCAAAAGACAAAATGTATGATGGCCGTTGTACTATCAGACTATAGTTTTCACACACCTATCCATCTATTCATTCACCCATTCATCTAACTGGGTCTCCAGCCATGGTGATGGGGGTTGGTGGATTCCTTAGCCAGCACCGGGAGAAAATTGGAGTACAACTGCAATGTCCATATTTCTTAATTTTCCACATACTTTAACTGAATATTAACCTGATAACCACAGCTATGTTTATGTCATAGACTAAGATCATAAATTATTATCTTTACATATTGGCATTAGCTTAAATCACTGCTTTGTTTTAAGTACATCCTCTCAGAGCTAAAAGCACCAACTCATGCTAGTTCATCATCACATGATGGATACTGGGGACCATTTGGGTATGTGAAGCACTTTCAGTCACAGTTATTTGGATGATAGACCGTGCAATGCAAGTCCACTTAGCAGATCCCTGTAGGAATAATGGCAAGTTGTTAACAGACACCCCGCAGCCCTCCATCAGGAAGAATTCCCACTTGCTGCAATATAAACCACTGGTCTCCAGCCTCCTACTGCTCTGCTGCACAGAGAAGGGAAATTGGAGGCAGCCCCCCTGCTGGCCTGCAAATTCCAATCAAGTGATGAAGAACAATCTAGACCTTGGCTTCCCTGACTGTACATTTAATTTGTAGCTTATTTCTTCTCACTTCACAGGAAATCCTTAACGTTTACAAAAGTCCAGCTGACAGCATAAAATACTTGTTCAAGTTTTAATGGCCTAATTTTTGCCTTTTACAGTCAAAGAAAATGTGCTTCGCTGCGCTAAAGATACTCTAGTGCAGCGGTCCCCAACCCCCAGGCCACGGATGGTATGTATGGTTTTCAGGGTTTTTAGCGGTTTTTAGCGATTTTTAGCGTTATTTTGTTATTGTTTTTGTCGTTTACTCATTTTTTCTGGGTCGTTTCACATGTGTTATGAATAAATCTTCTTTTTTCGGTACCGGTGCTAGTTTTATTTTGTTGTATTTATCTGCGACACCTTAAAGGCCGGTCCGTGAAAATATTGTCGGGCATAAACCGGTCCGTGGCACAAAAAAGGTTGGGGACCGCTGGCCTAGTGGTAGCTCTACTACCATGCTAATTTGAATATC